AGTTCTTACAATTTCAATCGCGAGTGTAGAAAATTTTGGCCGGTTCGCTTGTTTGGCCGGTTCGCTTGTTTGGCCGGTTCGCTATACATGCACGTTATACTAACTTTTATATACTTTTGTTACTACTGCTTTATACCCTTATTTACGAGTATCTCTCGTACCAATAAGTATATTTAACAATCGGTATATAAAAAAGTAGGATATATTTTTGAAACTACTCCAATTACTCGGTTAATCTATAACTAACCCCCTATAGCCACTTCTTGGAACGATTTCAGGACCCATTCCACGTCTTATTCTTCCTACAAGAATTTACCTAAATCATGAATATAGAATAGGCTTAAATAATTAGAAGATTAGATAAGGTTAGGTGTAGAACATAAAGCCTGGGAGTGGCGGGGAACATAAACCCCAAAAAAGTAGGGCAAAGTTAATAATTAAGATATTACTTTTTTTAGCGTATAAGGTTCATATTAGTCCCCGGACAGACTTTTTATATGTAATATGTTATCTTGTAAACCAATAAATACGGTAGCTACTTCGCTGCGACACATAGTGGTTTGGGTAGGTTGATGGATATGGAGACCATCAACAATTACCGTGAGGTGTTCCAAGGAAGCCAGCCAATCAGGCGAAAATATGGATTTGGGAACCTGTTATAAGTTACGTCTCACAATGACATTTGGAATGGTGGAGCCTAGAATGGGGGACGGAATAGTGAAACGGTCACATTGCACCCCCCGGTACGCGGCAATCCACTTGATCGCTGTATCATTTAAGCGAATGTTTGCTCAATAGTGCATACTGCTGAACGGAGACATTTTCCATAATTCAGAGCATGTTTTTTGTGGCACGCCTGGTAGTTTTTTTTTGGTATGCTTTTGGTCCAGAGAGTACGATGTAGGATTAAAGTCAAGTGCTTCGGATTATCAAACGGCTATTCTTGTATGTAATGGGTCGATCAGCATCCCTGGAAAATGCCTTAGTATCAAATTGGATACATATTGCGATGGCAATTTCATTTAGAATTTGCGCATGTGTCTATTCAACCCTTAGACCCATATACTGACTGACATACATAGCCTGCTCTTGGTAGATGCAACTTTTCCTGTATCTGTATTCAGATTGAACTGCACTCTCATTAAGGTTCCCACTAAATTAGCAGGAGCTAATGGGTTTTCGAATGGTTTAGCGATACAGTAGCTTAGCATCACCCCTAATCGCTTAACAGAAACTCGCTTAAGGTGTGCCTCCAACAAATTCAAAGGAGTAGGTTCCAAGCACCCAGAACACTTCGAATTGCACTTTGAACCTGGAATCGGTCTCTCCATGTTGGTTGAAATTAGTACGCTTGGGCCGTTTCCCGCCCCCTTGCATTGCGGCCCGCGCCTAGTGCACCCCGCTGTCAGAAAAATCGGGGCTGAATCTGAAATGCTGGGCAACCTATGCAGCGAGCCACCCTCCACCCTGAAAACCCTCTTCTGGACAACTGCAGCTCCTCCTCCGTCCGCGTGCTTTGGTTTGCATTTTTCACCACCACATTCATTGCCCTCAATTGCTCTGTTATGCGTTGCTTGCAAGTGCTCTCATTCTAGTTCTCTGCTTTTTTTCTACTTGCGACAATTCATCTTTGCCATTGAGTTCTTGCGCGCGGAAAGTCCAGCCTCGCGTTTGCACCACCCCAACGCCCTCGAAGCTTATCTGTACGACGAACGCGTCCAATTTGATGCCACGACTGCCTCGACGGGCATCCGCAGATTTCATAGCATAGATACCACTCTAACCTCAGCATGTGCCAACCTTGATTCGCCTTCAATTGCTCTCTCTGTGCCGAGTTGCCCGTCTCGTACCCCACTAGGCTGACCCCCACGAAAGTGCACTTACTTCCCTTCTCCGCCAGAGATATTCCAGTCTCGAGTTCTTTGATCCTTCAAGACGAACGAAAATATCGTCTTCAGAGTTCACATACCGATTCTATCTATGCTGTGGTAATATATTCACTCTATTCTGTTATTATATTCACCTCGTCTGACCGAACCTCTAGATTCAGGACCGTTACAACAAGAGTAGCGATCCCCCGTCCTCCCCTGAAAAGAAACCCCTGCAAGAGCTTCCCGGCTGCTCAATACGAACGTATCTTCTTCGGGGAGCAGACTTGATATCCTACCCATCCTCTCCATAACATCGAATGTCCACGTACAATTAACTGGCAGTTCTCATATGAAAACTCCCATCATGGAGCACTATGCTTCAGTTGCCTCGCCGTCACTCCCGGGCAGAAATACGAAGAATCGACTGGGAAAGTCACCCTAGTTGAGATCACGATCATTCTTGATGACCTGTCAAGGACTTGGGATCTACGATTAGAGATGCCTCCAGCGGGCGAATCGCCAAGGAAAAGACATGCAAGGGTGCAGACAGTGGAGGAGAAAAACGCTGATGAATGCGTCGAACTGATAAAGTTCATTGGATTCAAACGACGTCATGAAGAGGTAATTAAGAACTTTAACGATAATGCCATGTTGTTATGGTCAGGGTGGAGACATAAACCCAACGCCGACAAAGATGTCATCCCCAGGGCCACGCGAAATAGGGAGCATCCCTTGACGAAAGGGGAACGGAAAGAAATGATTGAACTTCTTTTGGATCACCTGAGACCCTGTGCGGCTGAATTGAAAGAGAGGATGAGGACTCCGAAGCGTGCAAGAAGACCTTCAGTAGAAAGCTCCCCTTTCAGGGACGATCCAATTCCATTTCCTTTGTCGACACCAGACTCTAAACGAGCTCGAGAAGAACCGGTTTATGATGCCGAAAATTCATCCAAGAAGTCCAAGTACCCAGAACAGAGACCCTTCCTACTCTCTAAATCTAACTCCAATGCAATGTTACCGCCGGCTTGGAGGCAGACATCTTTCAAGGGGCCCGGCGGTTATAAAAGTGCGAATACAAGTTTTGAGTCGACGACCGATTCAATTTTCTCGGTAGACGTAAACCAATATTTTGGTTATCCGAAACTTCCCGATCCCAAGGAAACAGTCACGGATCTTGGACATGAGCCTTCTCAGAACGAGAAGAACTTACCAATAGCCGCCTCAAATCAAAGCTCTGATTATGGAGCTGGAAGCAGCTTCGAGGCGGCCTTGAATAATGCCAAAGACGTGAACGCTCTTATACTGGGAACTCATCTTGACATGAAGCACTTGGAAGGCAGCCTTTCTAGCCAATTTGATGATATAGGTATCCAGAACACCGAAGTGTTAATGGACGAAGACATGTTGCAAGAAAGATTAGAAATGGTGTTTCGTGAGGAAGTTCCATGTCCGTAACAAAGGTCATTTCGCTAATTATGGTCACTAGCAAAACTTCCGCCTTCTTTGGAAAATGCGCCAGTGCACGTGATTTGCGAGATTGCTGGTGTTTTCTGTCACGTTGGAGTGTCAATGTCCGAAGTAGATTTCCCGGCTTCCTCTACTCTGTCTGACTATGCCACTCTATGGAAATTCCTTAAGCAGCTTTCTGCTTTGCAAGGCAAGACCTTTCCTGAGCGAAGTGAAACAGCCGCTTGGGAAGCCGCTGACACTAGGTATACTTGTAAAGGATCTGGTGTTGTGTTTGGTGGATCTTTGAAATACAATCACCTAAGCGAAACAGGTCCGTTCTATCAACTTGCTCTTAAACCGATGACCCTCGATAGGCGTCATCGACTTGGCAGGAAACTGGGTGACGATCGCTTCCTCGAACTTGATATGCCTCATTTAAAAGGAAATGGAGTCCCCGAAATTATTCAGGGCGAACGAGGCCAAGCGATAGTTATGAACTGGTTGGTGAACGGGCCCCACTGGCTTTTTGGCAGATCTTGGAAGCCGTTCCATTGCAAACCTAAAAAGTCTAAAAGCAGGCAAGAGAAGAATAAGGACAAGAAGGAAAAGATGAGTGAGGTATCGCTCATGTATTTTTTCGCCGTAAGAGGAAATGGAATCTTACCTCGTGGGGCATCGCGAGATGAAGGTGCTCATCAAACTATTGAGATAGCACAATTGTTGGATCGATATGTCAGAATTACTCGTAAAAATGAGCACCAATCTTATCTGAAGCTGTTTTCTCGAACTTCATTGGGTACGTCATTCTTCATCTTTCTGAATCAGTAATCTAAATAACAAACAGCGTTGTCTCGAAACACACCAACTGTCGTGTTTGATGCTTCTCAGATTAGATACAAGAAAGATATTGAATTTGCGGCTGAAAACTTGATCGACGGAGCAGGCCGAATTTCATATGCAGCAGCTCTTGAAGTGATGAAGCACCTGGGTCTCACTTACCCTGCCGGCGGCTTTCAGGGTCGCATCGGAGAGGCGAAAGAATTTTGGACCGTAGACCATAAGTCCAAGTCTGGGGACATATGGATAGAAGTGTATGATTCACAAGCCAAATGGACCCGGACTAGATCCAAGTCTTCCAAGAACCATGACAACCATGTTGACAACCGCACATTGGAGGTGGTTCACCCCTCTGGGCCTCTGAAGTCCGCAGATTTGAATTTCCAAATATTTCCAATTCTGATGGATAGAGCCAAGAACAAGGATGACATGAAGAAGTCACTGCAGAAATTGCTTGAGGTAGGACTGAAAAGTGAACTAGACAACCTTCTGACATTGGTGGGAGATGGTCCAAGCCTCCGCAAGTGGGTACACGAGACCAATCCCAACGAACAACAAAGGCTCAAAGTCGGAATGGTCAAATATGATACCGGTTTGCCCTTACTTTCTAGCGAGAAACTTATTATGCTCCTGGATGCCGGTTTCGAAACAAACAAACTACAATATGCCATGGACTTGAGTCGAGGTTTGTTTGCAAGCAAATGCAACGAGCTGAAGCAAAGACTGAATATTACTGTTGGAAAATCGACTTATGCCTACATGGTTCCTGACTTCTGGGGCGTTTTGGAGGAAGACGAAGTGTATATGGATTTTTCCACCTTTACAGATGATGTATCTGGAATTACTGGCGAGATGCTTCACGGACGAGACCTCTTGGTTACCAGATCCCCAGCCCATCTTCCCAGTGATATCCAGAAAGTGAGGGCTGTTGCGAAATTTGAGCTGATGGGACTGAAAGATGTTATCGTTTTTCCCACTAAGGGAAAACCGTCTCTCGCTCAAAAGCTATCAGGTGGTGATTATGATGGGGACATTGCTTGGATCTGCTGGGAGAAATCCATTGTGGATAACTTTGTGAATGCTCCTGTTCCTCCAAAGCCCGATTTCGTGAAGGACGGTACCATCACCAAAGATGCTACCACATACCGAGACCTCGTTGAGGGTTTTGAGGACCCAGTATCGCATTATCTGAAGTGCGCGTTTGGCTTCAACATGCAGCTAAGTATGCTCGGAATATGCACGCACTTCTTGGAAAGAACAACTCTGCTATAACCAGGGTAGCGTCAATACAGAGGAAGCGATACATGTGAGCTATCTTCTGGGCGACCTTGTTGACCAAGGCAAGCAAGGTTATTCCTTTGGCGAAAACGAATGGAAGCGTCTGAAGACGAAGTTACTCGATGGGAAGGGAATTCGAATGCTCGAGGTTGAGTACAAGAAGGAAGAGCCCCATCTGAAACCAACAGCCAAACACATCCTTGACTATCTGAAGTGGGTGGCTCACGATATGGTTGATACGTCTCTCGTCGAATTTGAGCGCGACCTACAATTGAAGGATATCGCCACCTTGGACAAAGATCTAGTGTGGCACTCAGAGTGGGCTGGCGAGGCCTCGATGCGTTATAAGGAGTGGCGAACCATTCTTATGCATCTCAACGAGGATCTCAAACCCATCAAAGAATCCTGGGTCATAACGTGGGGAAAGTTCCAAGATAAGGAGGACCCTGACTCCGAGGCCCGATCAGCAATAAACCGCGAACATTTCGAGAAATACACGGCCATCGTTCCCCATGACGAAACTCCCTTCACTAACTCCATTCAGTTTTCCTATGGGTCGGCAGATTTGTCATTCTGGGCTCTCCTTAAAGCCTCTGTGCTTTTTGCCTCCTTTCCAGAAAAACATCCGAGGAATTTCGCATGGCAGATGGCTGGGAAACAACTCCGCCATATAAAGGCACTGCAGAATTCGGATGGGGCACCCCATAGCGTGGTTCCGTTAATGTACTCAATTTACAAACGAAATAATGGGATGATCAAGAAGTTGCAGACTCAGAATCTCAATTCGGGGTTGACAGAGAATGTGGGAGTTGGCAACATGGATGAGTTTGAGGAGCTGGCTGACGATGCATGAGGGGTCGTTGTATTGGGGGAGATGCCATGACGACGCTTTCTAAGCTACGATCGCACGTCTTTTTCATCTTTTGTGGATTTTCGGTATATCAGAGGATTTGGAATACGATGATAGCGTGTTTGGGATATTAAATATGGGAAGTTTCGAATCCTTGTGGATGAAATAATGGGGATATGAGTTTTCAGGGGAAATTGATTTCTAGAGATACCACGGATACCTTGTACGTTTACGCGTCAGTTCATAGTTCTGGGCTCAATTGGCATTTGACATTTGATTTCTTGCTTGGTTTGACTACTGAGAAATACTATTTTCACACCTGTTTTCGTGTGTGGGTGAAAGTTGGTGGATGTGATACTTGATCCTTGACATGATTTCTTCTATACTATATGTGCCTGCAAGAATCGGGACCCTGTAATTTATTATGCTAGATAAGTATCCAAATCACTTTATATCTACAAAGTACCTGCGCATGCAAAGTTTTAGGAGACTGGTATTTTCGCTGCGAATGTTAGCTCCCAAGTAAATTTCCCCTCCGCTTCATGTCCTCCTCTTCTTTGGTTCACCAAACATACCCAGAAAGGGATATTCCCCCATTCACCGAATATTTTATGGTTATGTCTCCAAAGCTTTCTAGATTTGGCGATTCTTAGGGGAATATTCAATAACCATGACTTGATTCTAGATAGAGTCTGCCTCTCATCTCCTAAACGATGTGCTGGGCCGTACATATGCAATGATACCAATGGCGTTGTGATAACAGTGCAGCTGCGTAAGCACATTCCAGATTTACGCAAAAAAAATTCAGATGATCCCAGTGCGTCTGCCGGAGTCCTCAATTCAAGACAAGCTTGAAGGCCGGAGGTTATTGAAAGCCCTAATCGAAGAAGGGTAATGGATGTAGATGGCCAGAACAGTTTGACATTAGTAGAAAGAGAGCCAAAGTGTGTTTAAAACTTGGAGGTATTGAAGAATGGCGATTGAGGGACTCGAAGGCGGAGTGGTAAGATAATAATGGCGTCAGCTGGAAGCTGCAATAATCGTGGAACATGTCTCGCGTTGAGCGTCATTTTTTCCCATCCCGTTAGTAAGCAGGACACCGAGAACTCTACTCTCCAATATCGAAGCTGTTCATCATCGTGGCCCGTGGAGAACCTTGATATACGGTAAGTTTGGTATCGCCATAAAGAATGATGTTGAATTGCAATGTCTCGTGCCTGGCAGATCGACAGACCCGCCCACCAGCGCCCTGTGGAAATTGAGGTTGGCTGGTGGTCTCACGTAAGCGAAGGCATTTCAACCTATGTTTGTAGCGGGGATTGTACTTACGATAAACTTACAAAAGAATCAAGAAAGTATAGAATTTGTATTTGCAGCTCAACCCTTTGCAAGTTTTCCGGAGATGTTCTCCAACTTCAACGAGTTATCTTGTCTGAACGATTTTGACGGCTCGCGGTTCCCGGCTTCCTTAAGGTTGATCCCGCCCCTCCTCGCCCCACGATCCCCACAAAAGATTGCGGGGTTCCAGATTAGGTATTGTAACCGGGCTCACGTTGCGCGATCTAATCACTACTCCGTCGTTCTGCTTCAAGATTAACTTGGATTTGGTTTCTCTGTTAGAGTTTTTGGACTATTTGACTTGATTATTCTAAGCTTCTAGGGACGAAACTAGCTTTGCCGTTGGACGTGAGGATGAGCCATCTCTACTACTTACGAGTACATTCATGTCTCACGCGAGCAATGTACCGTACCTTCTCTTCTGTACTGCACTGCACTGGCACAGCTTCTTGGTACATTGGTAACACCGAAGAATAGAATGGTCTCGAGCCAAGTAGTGATGAACTGGACTCTTTGTTTCGTCCAATATTAACTGTTTCATCGCTATCTGACTTTTCCTTTTCTCGTTTCTGTGCTTCTACCTATCTATCTCCCGCCTCTTTTGACACCACTATTCAATTAAACGATGAATTATGAGGTAAGGGTCCCCTATCGGCCCGTGTCTTCCACGGGTCTCCCGCCGCTCGGTAGCTATCTATGTACGTAAATACAGATTCTCCGTCCTGTTGAATGACGTTGCTCTTCAGCTGTTCTGTTTTCCTCCATTCATCACAGTCCTGAGCTCATCTGCTCTGCTACTTTCACAATGGCCTCGATATCTTCTCGAGAGGATATTTCGAAAAACGATGGAGTGGCCACGGAAAAGCACACGCGACCGCATACCAGTTATATGGAGGGTGAAATCGAAGTTGTCGAACATAACAGCGGTCTCCAACGGAGCATGGGCAATCGACAAGTCCAACTTCTCGCAATTGGAGGTTCAATTGGAACCGCGACCTTCGTTAGCATTGGAATAACACTGTATCACTCTGGACCGATTGGTCTGCTGCTTGGATTTGCCATTTATTCTTGTATCCTGGCATTGGTCAATAATGCCGTCGCCGAAATGGTTGTCTTTATGCCCGTCACCGCTTCTTTCATTCGCCACGGTAGCAAATGGGTCGATGATGCCTGGGGATTTATGGCCAGTTGGAATTTCTTTTTCTATGAAGCCGTCTTGATACCCTTTGAGATTACGGCTCTCGGATTGGTTTTGTCGTTTTGGCGCGACGATATCCCTATCGCCGCTATCTGTGCAGGATGTTCGGTGCTCTATGGGTAAGCGAAAGTATCTGTCTAGTTGTGACCATGCAGATAGTGCCGTATAAACTCCTATTTTAGCATTCACTGACTTCTTCCTAGAATCATCAACTTGCTTCCAGTCAGTTACTATGGCGAAACCGAATTTTGGCTCTCGGGAGGCAAAGTGTTGCTTCTAGCCATTCTATATTGTTTCACATTTATCACGATGGTAGGAGGCAATCCTCAGCACGACGCTTATGGTTTCCGCCATTGGAAAAGTCCCGTAAGTTGAAAAGAGAGTTCCCACCACGTATTGAATATTGCTGATCACGAAACTAGGGACCATTCGTCGAATATCTTGCTAGTAGAAATAGTGGAAAATTTCAAGGTTTCCTGGCGTCTTTGTGGTCAGCCAGCTTTGCTGTCGTTGGGCCTGAGTACCTTGCCATGGTTGCAGGAGAAGCGAAATTGCCCCGAACCACGCTCAAAAGGGCTTTCAAAACTATATATGCCCGTATGGCGTTGATGTTTGTTGGATCGGCGCTTTGTGTTGGAATTGTGATCGCTTCCAACGATCCTACCTTGGTTGCCATTGCTAACCGCACAGCTCCTGGAAGCGGTTCTGGTGCTGCTTCACCTTACATCATAGCCATGACAAATCTGGGGATTGGAACTTTACCTCACATCGTCAATGCACTTCTGGTTACAAGCATCTTCTCGGCTGGAAACACTTACTTCTACTGCGCGATTCGTTCGTTGCATGGATTGGCTGAAGACGGCCATGCACCCAAGATGTTCAAAAAGTGTATAAAATGGGGCACTACTATCTACTGTTGGGCTATAGTTATGGCCTTCCCTTTTCTTTCTTTCCTACAGGTATCTAACTCAAGTGCTGTAGTCCTGACTTGGTATGCTCTGAAAGATTGGATGTATACGCTATAGTACTAACAAAGTTCTAGGCTCATCAATCTTGTCACGGCCACGACTCTCATCGATTACATCGTCATGTGCGTCAACTTCCTCTTCTTCTTCCGAGCTCTAAAAGCTCAAAAATACGACCGTGATTCACTTCCCTATAAAGGATTCTGGCACCCATGGAGCACAGTCTTCGCGCTCTGTTTCGAAACTCTCGTTCTCGGAGGGTATGGATATTCCACATTCCTGCCTGGCGCCTTCACGGTAGCAGACTTTTTGAGTTACTATACAATGGTATTCCTGGCTATCTTTCTCTTCGGATTCTGGAAGTTGGTTAAGAGAACTAAGATGGTGAAGCCGGAAGAGGCGGATTTAGTCTGGGAGAAACCGAGTATTGATCGGTATGAGGAACAGAGTACCGAGACTTCTGTGGGATTTACCACTTTTGTCAAGGGTTTGCTTGGGAGGAAAAAGCATGTTCATAGTGCTTGATCTGGTTAGGCCATGTTTTTAAAAGTACATTTATTCATAGATTATCTGATACTTATATCCTGCTCTCTGTGAAAAACAAATTCTTTTCCAATGAATATGGGGTTATTCGCTTTTATGTAGCGTATCACAGACCCGTCGTAGTCAGTCTCATGGTTTGGGAATGAGGGTAGCCCTTGCAACACGATTGATTCTTCTCGAATATATGATTGGGAGCTAGTCGAATAAATGCTACATAAACATCGTTATACCTACTTTTTCGTCAACTCGTTTTTGAAAGTCTCTTTGAGAGTTCATCAATTCAAGTTTCTGCAGAAGTATAAGAGTATCTGATTCCCCAAAGATATAGCAGGCTTAGCTGAGACCACTGCGTCAACGGATCGAAAGTCAGATCTTTCTTTACTCGCTTATACCCTTGGCCCATGAAAGGTCCGCCTCTTTCCAAAGTGTGGGTAAAGGCCCATCGAAACCGTACAAAGGGTCCATACTCGGAATTGGAGTTTTCGCCGCAACAACTGCTAACGCGGCCGTTTCCTCTGAAGAAGCATTACAAAGATGCATGTCGAAAGGTTCTTCACCAGCTGCTGCTCTGTCCTGCAGATCATCAGACTTGATGTAGAAAAACAAGATACAACTTGAGAAGGGGGGAAGAAACTGACAGAATTAGGAGGATAGAATCCCACGTATTCGAACCCTCCCAGATCTTCAAATACACAATGACTCACACCTGACTATTTCAATTGGCGTGCTTTCCTTTTATCGGCATTATTAGTACCTACCGGCAGCACGAATACATCACCTCTCTCAAACCTAACCTTAACTCCAATTTCCTTCCCATCTGCTCCCACGTCTTTTTCTCCCGGAGCATTTCCTAAGCTAAAAATAGCCGCACCTGAAATAACGCCATAGCACTCATGTGTTACAGCATGAAAATGTGCTTGATAATACGCTTTCCATTGACCGCCTGTATACCAGCCGTTAGGTTGGATTGCAGCGGCTGTGGATTCGGGGGTGGCATTCGGTATAGCCTGTTGATAATGAATTATTGGAAAGCGAGAATTTGGGACTTGGGCAGTGGGGGGAAGAAGGTAGGTTTTGGGTTCAATGAATGGTTTATGGATGAGCATTTTTGTGGTTCGGAAAAGTTTCGGTGAGAAGCCAGCCTCTAAGAGAAACCTTCTGGTCTGGGTGATGGGACCGTAAGACTGGAATATTAATACAGATCATGAATGGTTTCCATTGTAATGTCGTATCACGAAAGAGACTTTGATGTCATCAGCCTGCCCACTTTTGAGGGGTCAGGGGGGGGGATTTCTTTCAGTGACCCCACATGAAAATGTAAGGTCACTGCACATTGATCAGCTAGTCCATAAGGGGCAGGAATTTCCTTCATCATGATAACTCAGATGTCTACTGCCACTGGCCTTCGCTTGTTCACAATCTCAGATCTCTTGGCGAAAAGGTCACTTAGAATATGGAACTTTGCAGAAGCTCAAGTTATATGAAACCATTTTAATCACCATGAACGCGGCAACGAACTATCTACTTATCGAGGGTACTGATACACTCTGTAACCAAGAGACGAGAGTCGCTGAAGCTCTCAAATATGTTCTACGACGGCAAACTAAGTTCTGGATTTGGAATGACGGTTCCATGCACCTGAAGTCACTCTGATATGATGATAATTGTTCGCAATGGCAACATAAATGCGATAAAGATGCGTACCATATAATACTATTCATCAGTCTAGAATCTTCTCAAACTCTTGTTCCTATGTCCATGTGCTTCAGGCATACTAAGTAAATCATCAAACTGTCTTTTCCTGCCACGAATATCGGAAATCCCATCCAAATCCATAAAATCCCGCGGCATTGCTTCAGTTGGATCGAGTTCTAACCCTTCCATACCGAAAGTATGTGTGTATCCATCATGAGGGGGGGTTATCTCAGGAGGGGTAGTTGTCTCAGTACCTTCCAGCATTTTAATGATATATTGCTCCCCTTTCTCTCTCGCCAGGTCGTATACGTTATAGCCATTCTTGTTTTCAATTCTCCAATCTGCGCCGTGATCATCCGCAAGAATTTCCACTATATCATAGTCCGGGGGGTCGTCCATTGCGACTAATATTGCGGTATTGCCACAGTTATCTTGATAATCTAGCCCACCTCCATGACTGCCGGGAGAAACCACTTTCGCTGCATTATATTCCCCTGTGTGATAAGTCAAAATTGTCTCAACCATTTCAAAGTTACGATCCCAAACCGCAACATGAAGTGGAGTGGAACCAGAGCGATCTTGTATGAAACGGTCTGCGGGCATCATAAGCTCACAGCCCATTAGTCCTTCCACAACTTCGATGTTCTGACAGTGGACAGCTATATGGAGTGCAGTCTTTCCCTCATAATCTTGGAAATTGATGTTCAAATTTTCATGACATAAAATTTTTTGGAGCCCTGTTTGATATCCCTTTTCTGCGCAGATCATAAGAGGAGTTTTGCCGTTGGGGTCCTGGAGGTTGATATCCAGATGTGGATGACTTAGAATTCTTTCCAACCCTTCCGCATATTCCCTTTCTGCGCAGTCGAGGAGGGGTGTTTTTCCGTTGAAATATCGCTGATTTATATCAATAGTATCGCTATCGAGGAGAAACGCGATCACGTCATCGTGTCGACCACGAAGCGCCGAAATCAGAACACTGATTCCTTTCTTGTCAGTCTGGTTAAGACAAATGCTCCGAGCTTGTAGTGGAATGGTTTTCAAAACATTAACATGCCCTTTGGCAGCCGCGATCCAGATTGGAGTCTGCCCATACATATTCTCGGTATTCCATTGTTTCAAGTAATCAAGCGGCGTTGAGTGGTTGAAATTTCTAGCAAACGCTTCCGACCAACCACTGAAAGATATTAGCATACATATTCATACCGTTTCAGGGGTCGGTAACAATGATTATAGGTGGAACTCTCCATCCAAAGACTACCATAAATACAGGGGTTGAAAAGAAAATTAAAGGGGAAACTCCATACATATTGGCTGCCACGTGGAAAAGGGTTTGACTGAGATCAAAGTTTGAAGAATCCAACGTTGACCTCAGCAGATTGATGTATTCCCAGATATCCAAAGGACTTTGGAGACGTTTATGAAGATAAGTTTGATCAAATTCCGGCTCGATAACATGGCGTGACGCAACAAGCCATCAACAGCGTATCCCAGCAAAGGAAATTCTTGCAGTAAGTTTGATCTCCGTGAAATCGTTGGTTCCAAATCTGTGCAGTCTGGACAAATGTAAAGATTCTTTGCCGGATCAGAGTTTTTGTGAACCAATTCCTTATCATGGAAACATCCTTTTTGGGTATATCCTTCGAAGGAAACAAATGAATGTTTTATCGACAGCCGGAGGACATCCATGCGTGTAAGATAATTTAAGCAACTTTTAGCTAAGAAATCGTGTCCTTGTCCAGAAAGAAAAGTTTTGCCTGACAAGAATTCTAAGCCTTCTGATAGTAAAAAGTCCAAGACAGATTGATGTATTAGTCGGACTCCCTCAATAGCTGGGACGTTTTGCTGTGTCGAAGAATCAAACTCACAAAATGGCACGAGCTCGGCAAGACCACCGGAAAGATAATGTATTCTGCTTCGAGCTTTGATCGTTTCAATATAAGTGGGAGAATCTTCCCACCTGTGGTGCTTGATGGTGGGGCGGGTGGAACCTATTGCCATAGCGTAGCGCATTTCGTCCACAGTAAGGGACCTCAGAGAAAAACACACCCATTGCAACAGTTTCAACGACTCAGGTCGATCACTTGGTTCAATCTTCTCAAGCGTTCCGCGGTATAACTTGCCAAGGTCCAAATTTGGGCTATTGAGAAAATTGAGAATTGTTTGTTCGGAACTTCCGCTCCGCTGCAGTTTCGAAACCCTCGAAGTAATCATGACCACCCATTGGAAGATATTGTTTGATTTCTTTGCAATCTCATTAACAATCCAATTGTTGTTTCTGCCGCGCTGGGAGTTAGCTTTGAGGAAATGATCGATATAAGTAATGATGTCGTCAGTATTCTCTTGTTCAACGTCAATATCTAGCCCTGGGTCGTGGACTCCGAGGTTGGGGAAGTGACGACACGTAAAGCAGATACTGAGCCGAGTGGCAGGATTTTCCAAGATGCTCTGGAAGAAAAACAAGATTTCATTTGGAGAATCTTCGTTGGCTTCATCGAGAGCGTCAATATAGAGACGAATAGGTGGGATATCGGGAAAGGCGAACATCTGCCGGAATAGATCTTGCAGCTCAAATGAGGACCACTGAAGCTCCAAGTTTTCTCCAGAGCGTTTCTTCTCCTCATACACCCGCTGAACCCGCCTCAATTGTGATGGAACCGTAGAAACTATCTGATGAAGTAAGGACTGGAGAAGTCCGATTTGACTCCTTTGAAAACTAGTTCCCTGGCCACTGAAAAAGTAGAATGCTGTGCTGGAATTTTCGGTGGGGTCTTTCCGATCGTTATTCCGTTGAATATACGACATGACCGTCGATTTGCCACTTCCGGGCTTTCCTCGCATCCACAATAGGCCATTGAGTCTTCGTCGCCATCCTTGATATTTCGGGTTGGTTTGAATCCATTGGCATGTATTGTTGTAAGGAGTGATATCGCGCTTCATATTGTTGCAAGAGAGGGATTTGAGACAATCTAGGACAATTAGGTTTGAAGATCTACCATTTTGAGAGATAAACGCTTACCTTGAGTGCCTTGATTTTCCATATCGTGCGCAGATTCTGTGTTCTTGTAGCCAGCTGTATCGTGATTCTGATTGCGTGGATTATCTTCAAACCGAATCTGGATTACCGAGGGAGCTTTTTCGACAAACCTTTCAATCACTTGCCGAATTTTGGAATATCCGTTCTCATCACCCGGTCGGAGCTTGACCATATCTGAATGATTATAGTCCATTGGCACAGAGACTTCTGCATGTACTTCTTTTCGTCGCAAATGACATGCTTCGCTCTCACTGACAGCGCAAGCCTCTTTTCCATTCATACCCCATTTCTTCGTAATATCGTCCTAGTAAAAGGTAAGAATAGTTTTCGTAAGACGACCCGGAACCGAAAACGTACCCATGTTACAGTTGGGCTTTTCCGGGTTTCGAAGAAGTACCTGACCTCTGAGCCTTGGTAGTTAAAAGCATCACAAAATTCCTCTTGGTCTTTTTGTCTTCTCCCATGCCCTATATGTGGTTGCAAGTGTTCCAACACATGACGTGAAGGCTTATCCTTTACCATACACACCAATGCATCTATATTCATTCCTCCATTGGGCACACCGAATTGCAAAAGACCGTATATAGAGAGCAAGTCAGGTGACGAGTCTTCACAAAGTTTCATCCCAACGATAGCCTATTTTTATCTTAGAAATTTGAAGAAAAGACTGCAAGAAAGGAGGGAGTGCAGATCCCACCTTTTGTACGATAATGCCACCTAAACTGTGAGATAATAGTATCATTGGTCTCGATTTCTAAAACAATATTAGTAGGAAAGATGAACCAATTGAAGGGGAATTGGAGACCTCTTCACTTTGCCGAAGTCCACATAGGCTGTGGCGGAAACCGTTTGCCCAAGTATCGATCGAACTCATTATTTTTTCATCATTCAAACTCGATTGGTAACCATAAAACCAAACTCTCAATTCCGGAAACTCATTAGCAACCTTATGAAGCCAACTTGTTCGAGCGCCATCTCCCTTATAGCAGAATCCACCATAGGCGTGGCTGCCCCATCCATGAACCACAATAAAGCTACAATCATCAGTTATGTTGTCACAGTTCACGTAACCATACTTACTCGATGTTATGCTTCACATCAGTCTCGACATCAGATATAGGTGTAAAGCCATCGAAATTGATATCCAAATCAAGCACAACCCCCTTGGCCCCGGTGCGAGCTGACTTTATGAATGGATGCCAACTACCATTGTCACCCCGGCGCAACTTTTCTGTTACTCCATCGAAGGAAACAATCGCAACATTCATATTGCGTCTTTTCTGATTATGAGATGCGAAAGAATGAATTGTCACACCAAATTTGTATTCAGTTCTCAGCTCTTCCTCGAGATCCTCGTATCTCCATTTGGATGGGATTTGGCGCACACGATATACGGTGTGGGCCATTCTTATAGAGTTTTCTGAACGCTCACGATTATACAATAAGGTCAGAAGATATTGGAGAAAGCCTTGGGAGACTTCTGTCTATATGATGGTGCTCGATGGTGATCGCTCGATGTGATCTGGTAACGGTCACTCAGCTGCCCCTTTGGTGCCTTCGCTTAAACTTGGATGCTGTATCGTGCATAGACGAATGCATATTTTGACGCACTCGCCCACCCACCATCGTTTCGATTACATGAAAATAAAGTACGAGGCCGCTGAAGAATATCCGGCCGTCAAGTTAACCCAAGATGATGCAACAACAGTGCTCGAGGATGAAACTTTGAATTTATCGAAAAGCGTCGTGGTCACTAAGGGAAACTTCAAGCAGGGATCGTCGGAGTGCTAATATGCAGTGATGGAACTACTTATATCGAATAATTACACGACGAAGTATTATGTTGATGGGGGGCGGATCACGCTAAGCGAGAAGAATATGGGGCCCCTCAATACCCCTCATACCGCCCAGGTGTGGTTGGGTAACATCGCGCAAGTTTCTCGAAGGGCGGCAATATTGGAAATCTCATTGGGCGATAGTGAGTGCTGCAGAACTTGGTAAACCTGCTCATGCCTTGTCGGTCGAACTGCTATACTCTTTTGCATATTTCCGAAGCACTACCACCCACACAGTTGCAAAGAGTCATTCGTCATTGTCTTGGTAACCTCAGTAAGGCTTTGATCCCTTTTTTATATCATGAGGGATATTTTGGTGCAGGAACAAATCCTCTGACTACTGAAACAAGGAATAGCGACCATTGGATCAGTGTCAGGTTTAAGTCTGCCAGATTTTCGAGTAGGAACGTCTCGTTATCTTCCTATTGTGGTTTGAACTTTCACTAGAGAAGTAGTATGAGATGGAATTAATATCTACTCTAGCAGAGTTGCAGCTATATCTTTGCATCTTGCTTTTGCAGTTGGTAAGGCGCAGAATGATATAACCGGTATTGATCTTTTTGCATCTTAGTTCCGTATTGGGCAGAGATCAACAGAACTGAGATTCTCATGGGGCAAACAGGGCGAAGTATCAGTCCGGGGGTATTTTGCAACACAGGACTGCTGATTGACAAAGCTTACTATTGTTGAAACCCAGACACGGCTTTGACTGAAATAACTTCATGTCCTCGTTAGCTCTCATTTTTTACACCCGTTCCCTCGTTGGAATAGTAGACTTATTACGTCACATAAAAGAGAAACACATTCTCTTGCTCAGGTGTTGCTTAATATGGAAATTTAATTGTTCCTTTTCCACGCATGCATCGCTGATGAATCGCTTACTCAAGGTCTCGTCTCAATCCCCACTGTGGTTTCCACGTGACTATCCAATATCGCCAGTAACTTTCCGTACCTTCAAGAAACAGTAACATAGAATTGGAATTACTGATAGGAGCTATTAAGCTTTAGCTCGGGCATATCTGCAGTTGTAACCATTCTGCTTGTATCGTCTACTCATTCCTGTAAGACACGTGACCTATGTAAAAAGGGGCTGAGGCACCCTTTCCACCTCAAAACTTACATTCTGTGATTCTCGACACACGAACTATGGGAGGTGTGCATCTACTACGGAACGCGGAACGGACACTTCTATCAAAGTGAAAAAGTAAAAAGTGAAAAACCGACTAAAGTTAAAATCTACTCTCTATTTTCCTACCAAGTAGTGTAGGAATCGCTTTTATTATTTCAAAGGACAGTAGAATAAGCCCTTGTTTCCCAAAACCTATCTTCAAGCCTATCTTCGCGCCTATCTCAGTGCCTATTTAAGTATGTGGCCAGGGGCTAAGGGCAGGGAAGGTAAAAAGGAGAAAGGGTAGAAGAAGGAATAGTAAAAGAAGGAGGGGAAGTTAAGGGTATTCTAAGGTAGTAAGGGAGGTGTTCTCTAGGAATATAGCTAAATTCCTCAACTCTTGTTTAGAATTTGCGTAGTAATAGTTTTTTTAAGCTATATTCTAGTAATATTTTACCTACCTAAACTCTACCCCACGATAGCTTTACTTCTTCTGACTACCTATACCCTGCCGGCTTACTACCTACCTCCCTACTTGCCTGCTTACCTACCTGCCTACTTTCTCTCTGTTATCTATTTTTAGGGTACTATAGGGAGGCGAGAAGGAGGGCGGTAATAGGAGTAGTAGGTAGACAGGTAGTACTAGGTAGGTTAGTTAAGGTCTTAAAGTCTAAGGTGGCACGTAGTAGACAGGTAAGAGTTTAACACAGGAGGTACGAAAAAACCATGTATTTAAGGCTCTTTTAGTTGGTTTTTCACTTTTTCACTTTGATAGAAGTGTCCGATCCACGTTCCGTAATCTACGTAGCGACGACGCCACCCAATCCGATGCCACATCAAACGATCCGTAATGACGGTCTTCGCTAAAAATACTCTATTACGAGATTAGAGATCAACTTACCATTCTACAGTATCAAACGATAGAAGAAAGTCCTCGGTCAACGTGAAGCACAGGCAAATGATGCGGTATCCACACAGGAGCTTCGCTGTCTCTTCATCCGATTACCTGCTTATGAGAGCGAGGATGTAGATGCTTTATCATCGCCATTGAGTCTGGGGATATGCACATCATGTCCGATGGACTCTTCCGAGACGCCTACAGAGGGATGCAGCGAAGGAACAGAGTGGAAGCGAAGCGATAATATTTACCTTCGCCTCGATAGCGAAGAACCCATAGTCTTGGGTCTTATTCTGCGCGCCATTCCTGTGGTGGAAGAGGATTTGACTGATGGATGCGGATTGTGTTTCCTCACTCGGGATATCTACCGGATCGGCCCGGTGATCGGAAGGTCGAAGGTAGAGGAGAGGTACGTACTTATTTGATCCACCTAGTTCTCATGGTAATTCAACCCAATCTTTCATATTGCGAATCCCAATATTTTCCGTTTCACACTAAAAAACTTGGCTCAACTAGACAATCTATTAATTTCCATCTCGTGGTGATCCTCCATCCCCGCATCTCTTTGGAATCCTGCACCCCGCTTTTTTGGTATCACAGCTTATCATGGAGTTTACCTTAATTTTGTGCCGCCCATCCGTGTCTATTTCTATTCAAGGTGGTTCTACTACTCAGTTGAATCACATAGAGTTCGCCGATTTTGTTCGAGTCCGTTCCTTAGTTGCGCTAGAGTGAAGTTACCTGAAGACGAATGTCATGCTTCCCAATCGCAATTTGTTACCATGGCAAGCAGAGATCTGCATTTGAGATCCTAGTCATTTGTGGTCCACACAAAATCCTTTCAGCACTCCCATCAACCAGACAATATACTCGTTACGTTTTGTTCATGGTTGTAGAACAATCCCAAGACCTTCCATCGCTCATTTCACTTGGTCTTGTTCGGGCAGGAGCGATCACAGCAACTTCACCGTACATATAAGTAGGTAGTGTATCGTTTCTCGATATCACACCCTTTTACCACTAGTCAAAGCTCTCCTTTGCGTTCTTGTCAACCCTCCCATACGCGTCCTTTTTCCTACCTGCTCCATTACACTGCCGATTCTAACTTCCTACTTTCTTTGACGGACCTATGCAAAATGATTCCATCTTTTTCGAAGCTTTTTGTCCCGCTCGTAATCTTTCTGTTGCTTGATAACGCACTTGGTGCGACACCCAGTGATTGGAGAAGCCGTTCCATTTACCAAGTTTTCACGGATCGATTCGCAAGAACTGATGGGTCAAACACATATTGTGCCCCAGGATATGGGGGTTTTTGTGGTGGAACCTGGCAGGGAATTATCAACAAACTAGATTATATTCAGGTAACTTATCTTTCTAGAATGATGAGGAGCCGTCAAATTTCTAATGGGGTTCACTCGATAGGACATGGGCTTCACGGCCGTTTGGATTTCACCTATTGTGGAACAAGTCGCGGACCAGGCCAGAGCTTATCACGGATATTCAGCGACGAATATTTATGGTTTGAATGGAAATTTTGGTTCGGCCTCGGAGCTGAAGGCTCTGTCCAAGGCTTTACATGACCGCGGAATGGTAACAAGATATCTTGAATGGGCTTTGAAATATGACGAGCTGATGTAAAAGTAGTATTTCATGGTAGATGTCGTCGCAAATCACATGGCATGGGATGGTAAATCCGATAACGTCGATTACAGCAAACTGGCCCCCTTCAACAAGAAGGAAGATTTCCATGTCAATCCCATATGTTTTATTTCCAATTATGAGAATCAACAGGAGGTTGAAGAAGTAAGTACTGAAGAATTTTCTTCCCAAATTAAGCTTAATAATTTTAGTGTTGGTTGGGCAACAATGATTATCCACTTCCAGATCTAAACACGAAAACAGAAAATGTTCGAAACCTGTTTAGCGAGTGGGTCTCCTGGTTCGTGGACGAATACTCAAGTACTGCTAATTCCCCTGGTCCCTTCTCAACCATAACTAACAGGAGACAGTCGACGGTCTCCGAATAGACACAGTAAAACATGTCGAGAAATCGTTCTGGCCCGGTTTCAACACTGCTTCGAAGGTATTTAATCTGGGCGAAGTAGCTTCTGGAGATATTTCGTATCTCTGCGATTATCAAAATTACATGGATGGCCTCCTGAATTATGGTGCATATTATCAGATCACACAGTTCTTCTCGAATCCTCAAGCTACATCCTCGAATCTTGTTAATGCTATTGATGCTTTGGGCACCAACTGTAAAGACGTATCCGTCCTCGGTTCTTTCACGGAGAATCATGACCAGGGACGCTTTGCAAATCTTACGGGTGACATGATGGTATGTTGCCGACCACCATGAAACTAAAGACCCTAATGACTTATCGTCGAATCTAGCTCGCAAAGAATGCAATTGTGTACACGATGCTTGCAGACGGTATTCCTATCAGTAGGACCCCCTTTACTTGCTCTGTTCATACTCTTTACATAAGCAAACAACAGACTAATACTACTGCAGTCTATCAAGGCCAAGAACACCATTTTTCCGGTTCTGCAGATCCCTACGACCGTGAAGCACTCTGGCCAACGAACTACGATACCACGGGACCCTTGTACCAATTCGTCAAGCAACTAAACGCCATCCGTTCCCTGGCTCTCGCTAAGTCAACAAACTATCTAACTACGAGACAGAAAGTGGTTTACTCAGATGATCATGTTGTTGCAATCAGTAAAGGTGAACCCACCGCGATGACACTGATGGTTCTGGCAAACTCGGGGGAGAAGGCGACACAGAGACGTTTTATGATTGAGAACGTGGATTTCGAGAGAGGCCTGAAGGTTGTAGAATTGTTTAGTTGCACAGAAGCTGTTGTCGGTGATATTGGCAGTTTAGAGATTGTCCAAAGTGGCGAAGCTTTAGTATGTACCTCCCGTGTCATGACAGTAGTTTGCTAACTATCGTCGCAGGTTTACTACCCTGATTCTCTCTTGCCGGGTACGGGCTGGTGCGGGCGCTAGACGCAAATGTCTTGAATACATGTTCCAGGCTTAGTATATGTTGAGTTTACGAGGGGTGTTCAGTGGAGTGTAGGGTAAAAGTCCCCGTAAACTCAATGTTTATTATGCCTGGGACAAAGTAGAAGGTAGACTACATAGTACCTCGTACTTCAAACTTCTGGAGGATAGACCACAATCCTATCCAAATCCGCGCCCTTGAAATCAAACCCATTACCCAATCCGCCGACCGTTATGGTATTCCGATCCCCCTCTTCAAATCTCAATTGCAAAGGCGTCGATAAAATTATTCCTTTGTGTGTGTCCCTCTGAAACAAAGTTTCTACGTTCTGTACATTGTCGTTCACCACCACACTACTAATTCTCCGAAGCTGCCAGGATCCGCCAATTCGATCAGGTGTTCCTCCAGCTGCAAGAAAAATCGTAATTAGTTACTGACAGGATTTGAGAAGCTTCAGAAGCTTACGTTGATCTCCAAACCCCATGTCATCTGTGTTTTGATAGTAGAAAGATACCCATTGTGGTTTGCCACTTCCCTCGATATTAGTGAAAGTTACAGTACTGTCGTTTCCATAAATGCCAGTCAGAATTATTCCATCGCTACCGAAGTTCTGATATTCGGTTAGCATAAGGTTTTCATTTTCAGAAAATAAGCGAGTGGCCTCACGGCTTCTTGCTTGTAAGCATTTCCATTTGTAATCGCGTCTTTCCCGTAATAGGTTTTCCCCTGAACCTCTTTCCACTCCCCAGATTTTCTGTCTGAATATTAGATTGAATTCTTAAAGCGGGAATTTCATATTTGCTAACACGTCCAGATCATAGATATCATGCCACTCGATATTGAGATTTTTCTTGTCGTCGTCGATGTTCATCGGAAGCCAGATATATCGACTTTCCCATAGCGAATTTGAGTCCCACTAATGATTACACTCAGTTTTGGTGGAAGTTGAAGGTGTTTGGGATATTACCTGATCACCGATGTATAGATATGTTGTGGCTTTTGTCCCTTTGATCGTGAGGGTAAAGCCACTTTGAGAGTTGAAGCCTCTCGTATTCAACGGTGCCACAATCCAGGGTTGGGACCATGGCCCAGAAAGCTTGTCTGCTCGGAATGCAATTACATCTTTCCCAGTCAGTATATTCTGAGTAATGAGGGAAAGCTTCGCTCACTGTTTGGGCGATACCCTGTCTTATGGCTCATGAGCGCATAATAACTTTTGTCTGTTTGAATGATCGTTGGTGCTTCAAGATCATACTTTGGGAAGGTATAAATAACATGGGCAAGGGCTGTCACGTTCTCGTTATAAGATGTCAAATACACATCTCGTGCCTCTTTGCGATCTCCGTTAGAATAAAGGGCGTAAGACCGGCCATCCTTGTAGTCTGTAAACAAACCAAAATCCTGGGACCAATTTCCCAGAGGGCTTGTTGCATCTACAAACCTGTAGGGGCCAGAAATACTGGGAGATGTCGCAAACCCTTGAAGAAGTAGACCATAAGTTGAGTTATCTGCATGCCAAAACATCTGGTATTCCCATTAGCATTGGGATCATCCAAAGATCGTTACGAGTGCTAACATGATATGCTCCTGTCGCTTTACTATGCACAACCTTCGGACGTTGAATGATCATCCTTGGCGAAATATAAGTATTATTCTCGACCGGTGCTGACACACTGATGAGCTTCTTATCCTTGAGTTGCGCAAATACCTCAACGTACTAAGAGCAAGTCCGTGTGCTGTCCACGTAGCCAGGTCATCTGAACTATAGACACTGACACCACCACCCTCAGTCTGTCCCTTAATTTTATACTCTCCAAACAACCAAAACTTGCCCGTCTCATCCTGGACGATAGACCCAGCGTGTGCGTTTACTAGATTCCCGTCCGTGTCTAGCCATCTGCCACCAGGTACAATGTATTTTGCCAAAATTCCCGTCGTGAGTAGTAACCAGCAGATTGCTTTAAGGCCAAACATCTTTGCAGAAGTACTGAAAATGGTAAAATAATATCATTTCGTCAAAATACTTCATCGTAACTTATATGAATGTCAAGTCTACAATCGTGGGGTCGACTTACCCCGCGAATCCACCTAAAAGGTGCACGTTTATGTCCATTCGGAAAAACAACGCCCGAGATGGAAAAATACTCCATTCGTATTCAAAGATGGCAGAAGTAGTGCCTCTCTGTCTTGCACATATATTTGATGCCCGGCTACCAGTAGTTTTTAGGTTCTTATGCGACTTCGTAAGTCGCGCAGTCATTAATCGTGACGCCTACAGCCCTGCCACCTGAAGACACCTGTAAGCTTGATATACAACGGGTTCGAGGGCCTTGTACTTGTAGGCCAATCACAAGGTAATGGCAGGGGTAAAATACTTCGAAGTACTAAGGACTTCATATATGAGTAAGGCCCCATCACTATAAAATCATGGGCTACAGAGCCGAGAACTCTGTTCGAGAAACTCACGACCCTTCTAGGTACTTCTACTGTATAGTGCAGGGACTACTGTACAATAACTTCTGACCACGTTCTCGTTATCAGCGACACTATTTGAGTTTACATGGAGAATGGAAAGAAATATTGTTTAAAAACTTACATGAGGCTTCAACACTATACGAAGTACTTCTATCATGAGTCGATCATTTTTTGTCAGGTTCTGACGCGTGGGTTTTGACAGGGGTTTGGGGTTTTGCAGTTAATGGCCCTGTACCTGCGCATATCCAACCCTCGCTAGAAGTACCTCCGTGATTTCAAAACAATGAAATGTATATTGAGGTTGGTTTGTGGCAAGATTGCGTAAGTTATGAAAAAAAAAAGATCATTCTAGACATTCCTAGAATTCCTAGAAGTTATAGTTTTGATCGAAAGAGGACTCTTGTAAAGAGGACTTCGTAGTATGGTGTGTAAATCAAGCTTTCTGGGCAACGTCCTGTCTGGCAATGGCGCATACTAGTGTCCGACGGTTATTTCCAGCAATGGAAGGAATTACCGAGAAACGGGCAGGTTGATTGACACTTTTGACATACATGTCCTCTTCGTCCGAGGTGAATGATATAAGCTTTCAGCCATTAAGCTACCTACCAGCGCTAACCTCCCGTAGCCTTTTCCCATCATCTAAAAAATGACTACTACACCTCCGGAACGGGACGAATCAAAGGCTGAGTGCAGTATTGAGGCGAATCGTCACGAAAAAAAAAGTCACTAGCAATGCTGGAAAAGGTTCCTTACGTATATTTTACCTCTACCATTATTATCCAGCTTGTTTGAAACTATTTATTTCCTTTTACCGCCAATCGCACACTTACGTAAAAGCTCGAGGTAATGCAAGACTGGTCTTCAAAAGATATTTTGATTTTGGGCCTGATGTTTTGCCCGAGCCATAATTATCAGTATCAATGACAAGTATACCGTTGCTGAATGCTTCAGACGAAGTATAACATGAAAACTACAAGTAGGGATTCCTTGATAAGAGGTCTCGCTAAGTAGCCTTTTTCTGATGTTCCACAAATTAAGCAAGCGAGAAAAGGTTCTCGAATGTTATTCACTCTGTATTAGTATTATACCGCAATGGTGCAAATTGCCGCGTGCCTCCACCGCATACAATTGCTATATAAGCTGATGGCATCCCCACCACACACATCCTTATTGCTTTCGATCCAGCCACACAACCAGAACACATTTCTTGATCATGCATCTTTCAACTATTCTCATCGCGATTGCGCCTTTTATTGCCGCAGTATCGGCAGAAGGATACAGTTTTTGCTCAACATCAACGTCGGGCACAATTCCACCAGGAGGAAAAGGGTGTCCTGCTGGCAGAAGTCAAAAATGCGTACGTCTGGTCCAATTTCCTTATAAGTACCTCCGTCCAGATACTATTAGCGAACATGGTTAATGATGAATATATATTGTGTTTTCCACGAGGCACAAGGATTAACAGATAAATGGTGGTGTGATAGTATTGCAAGAGATAAAGATAAACATTTCGTTCCCTGTAATGGAGGTCCAGGAGACCCTGACGGCAGAGCGGTAAGCTTCATAAATCTTTTTCCACTTACTTAACTAATATTGTGCTTTTAGTTCGTCCAATGCTGCTACAAGAAATAATAAATGAAATTCGGTGAGGCTACGCTTAGAGGGGGGCTTAAATGTGCCTCTGGTTAGGAGAACAAGAGTTTTTAGTCTATCGGTGGCGGAAGGAATTATTAGGAACCAAAAACTTTATAAATAAGATTATCTGCTTTATTAATGTCTATAATTTCCAAGTTTAAATCCAAATATCTTTATTTATAAGAAATTTATAGATTTTAAGTAAATTAATAGTAAATTTCTAAACCAGATTTATTATTTTAAATGACGTGTTATCTAAGGAGAGTACTAAGGAAATAGATATAAACTGTGACGGTTATGGTCACGAGGGCTGGATGTCACATGCTCGCTTAGCGAGGCGCTAGCGCGCACGACCTGTATTTAGTTCCCAGCTCTCTTGAGCTCTCCTTCTTTCCTCGTCTTTTGTCCTAAGAATAGAGTGTTAATTGTTCTGAGTTCTACCTGAAGCACGTCTGTCACATTACAAAAGACCCTTAGTTGAGGCTAAGTATCCCAGGTCTAAGTTCACGTTCACGTCCAAGTTCAGGTCCACGATCTTACGTCTCAATTCTCACGATTTCTACCACTTTCTTGTGCGCAAGAACCCTACACTTTACAACACGACGAAACCTCTTCTTTTTTCGACTTCTCTACAATGGATGCCCTTCAAGTTCAGTCCGCCATCGCTGAGTTGCAAGCTGAAGTCCAGCGACAGCGCGACGAGATTCACTTACTCCGGTCAAGAACATCCGCAAAGCCTAAACCTTCCCTCCCAGACCCTGACAAATTCACTGGCCAGGCTCATAAATTCGACACCTGGCTTCCCTCAATCAAAGCAAAGCTACGAGTCGACGGTACAGCTATTGGAGACGCTATTGCGCAGTTCTACTACGTCTACCTCAACCTTGACTCCCACGTCCAAGCCATGGTCCTTCCACAGCTCTCTCAAGCAGAAGACACCCAAAGCTGGGACTACCAAACAATCCTCGAACAGCTCGCGCGCGTGTACGACAATCCAAACAAGGTACAGGAGGCGGAAGACAAGCTATTTGCCCTCAAGCAAGGTGCTGACTCAGTCCCTACATATATCGCCAAGTTTGAGCGTGTCCTTTACGAAGCAAGAGGTCAGGACTGGCCAGATGTCAACAAAATTTCCACCTTTAGGAATGGCCTTAATTCTACTCTTCGCGGACGACTTTCTCAACAACTCAACCTACCTCGCGATTATACTACATTCATACGCGTCGTACAACAATTAGCAGGCCGCTTCTCTTCGTCTACACAACCTACACAGTCCTACTCCTCTGGCAACCACCACAGCGAACCAATGGACATAAATGCTTTTAGCATCAATTCCATCGACCCATCCTCTCCTCCACGCGCTCGCTCTATTTCCCCTGAGCGTAGAGATCAATATAGAGCTGAAGGCAGGTGTGTACGATGTGGCTCCTTGGAACACTGGGTCAACGATTGCATACTCCGTCCTTTCTCACCAGGACCACAAGGAAGGAAATCAGCCATAGATTTGGGGGATCTACCAGCTGGGGAGGCATTCCCAAAGCCAGTACGAAAGCAGATTGCAAGACCAGGCAGAGTAGTAATAGCAGCTATGAACGACAATGCTTACGATAGCGCGGAGGTAGATTCGGACGATCCTGACCATCCAGATGCCTGGCAAAAGGGTATTTTTCACAATTAGTTCAGATTTTCAACGCTCGGGGCGAGCTCTTTTTAAAGGGGGGGGTGATGTGACGGTTATGGTCACGAGGGCTGGATGTCACATGCTCGCTTAGCGAGGCGCTAGCGCGCACGACCTGTATTTAGTTCCCAGCTCTCTCGAGCTCTCCTTCTTTCCTCGTCTTTTGTCCTAAGAATAGAGTGTTAATTGTTCTGAGTTCTACCTGAAGCACGTCTGTCACATAAACTATAACTAATATCTAAAAATATAGATAATATATTAGTACTATATAAAGAGCGTCTAGTCTAGATTTAGTCTAGGGATTTATTATGCTTTGTTTTAAACGTACTAAACGTTAAGATTTAGTTGTTTTATAAGGAACTAGATTTTAACCCTAAGATAATCTAGCCTAAGAATGCTAGATCTTAATTGTTTAGCATCTACCCGCTTAGGTCTCGTTAGATCCTCCGCAGGTAGTGTTATATAAGTCCCGTCTCTAGGGAAAAATGAACAATCACGTGATCTACCCAACATGACTCTACCTATAGGTGCTTGAACACTGAATCCTTTCCTCAAACTTCTTGTACAGTACCGATCCAGCAATCCCAGAGGTTCCGTTATCAGATAGAACAGCCGCCTTTTCAACACTTGGGATTCTGGGTAGGACTGAATTGATGAGGACTGCTCCAGAAAGTGGAAACTGAACAACCCAATGCTTCTCTAGCAGTTTCCGATGTCGTAGATTATTAGGAAGTTATGGATCGCTCACATAGAATACTTTAATAATTGTGCCATTTTCAAGCGCTTCTTGGCTGCGTATAGTACTATCATCCGCCCGGTTGTTGGCATGACGAATGTCCGGTCAATCACCCCTCGCCAAGTGACTTAAGCCATTACATAAGAGGAACGAGATCCCCAAATTCACAATGGAATTGTTCTTATGTTCAAAATGGTACGCTTTGTTGGACTTCATGAAATAGTGGATTTGCCCCTGCTGCTTATGTTGCTGTACTGTATCAGACCAACGTTCCACAAAAGATTCCGGCTGACATGATTGGCCACAACAGACGCGGGAGGGGTAAAGGGGTTTTCGTCAGATTTTCTTGGCTATTCACTTAATCCAATTGTTCCCAATTTACGCAAGTGTGCATTCACAGGGTGTTTTGTTTATTTCTGAGATCTATCTTCAGGCAAGTAATCATCTTCTTTCTTTCTTTCATTGTTCGTCCACAAAGTTATTCTTCCATAAAGTCATTCTTCCACAAAGCCATTCACGCCACTTTCGCATAGAAGCGAAGGCCTTCATTGTCCCCAGATCTTCTTTTGTCTATTTCAAACAACTCCCTGTGCTAGTAAACACCAAACAATAGTGGACATAAAGTTTCTGTTGGATTCTTGTCTCCTTCTCATCATCTTCACATCACTTGACTATCCACTACCATACACACACCATACACCACATACAAATCAACACCGCGATATACGAAATGTTTTGCAACATGCGCATCCTTTTGACTCTCACCCTCGCCAACTGTGTGCTCTCGCACATCACACTTGAAAGCCCAAAGCCATTCAAAGTGGCCGCCGACGGACTTTCAAACCCACTCGCACCATCTGGAGCGAACTTCCCCTGTCAGGGTAAGGTCTCTCTCCCTGATGGAGGCCCTACCGTCATGACTATTGGCCAGGAACAGAAGACAACCTTCTCGGGATTGGCAACTCATGGTGGTGGCTCTTGTCAGATCTCTCTACTCAAAGGATTTGAACCAAGCAAGGAAAATGCAGACTTCCGAGTTATCAAAACTCAATACGGCTGTCTAACAAACTCCAAGGGAAACTTGGACGGTGGAAAGGCAAACCCAATGACCTTTGTAATCCCTGACTCTGTCGAGCCAGGTGATTACTCTGGATCTTGGACTTGGCAATCCGAGGCAACCGGAGAGCTGTACCAGATGTGTTTCCCAATCACAGTTGTGGCCAAGAAGCGATCCAGAATTGAGCGCGGAAAGCCTGAGTTCAGTCCCAATGTTAAGCGAGGCCTGGAAGACCTTCCTCCTGTTTGGTTAGCCAACTTAGGAGAAGTCACCGGAACTTGTAGTGTAAAACCTCAGCAGCAAATTGTCGAGTTCCCTGAGCCAGGAAAAGACGTCGAGCACTCTGAGGGTGATAAGAAGCTTTTCAAGGCTGAGTGCAATGGCAACCCTTTTGCGAAAGGTGGGGTCACCAAGCCCAGCAACCCTTCATCATCTGCAACGCCATCCAGTGCCCCGGCCAAGAAAACTACTTCGAAGACTCCAGCTCCATCAGCAACTTCTACCAGTGCACCATCTAAGCCAACTACTTCGAATAAGCCAACTTCCACGAAGAGCACTACGAGAACACCAAAAGCCACCTCTTCGGCGTCGCCATCATCAAGCAAAGCATCAGCCCCTACAGTTTCTACTCCGCCAGCTCCATCGGCCTCATCAGGCTCCACAGGAATGTGCGAAGAGGGAAAATACCTGTGTGTCAACGGCCACATGTTTTCAGTCTGTACGGGAGGAAGATGGACGGGTCCTCAACCTCTAGCCGCCAATACTCACTGCGAAGGGGAGGTTGGTGAGCTCAAGATTGTGAACGAGTAAGCTATACAATTAGGTGGAGATATGCTGGGGACTGATACGTCACATGTCAAACCCTTGAAGACTGTATGATTCAGTGCTCTGAGACCCTTGATGGGTTCTCGTCAAATCCCAAATCCCTTAACTAGTGTAATAAACATTCATTCCTAAACATGAAGATCCAATGATTGAGACCAACTCGAACGTGACTAAATTACGCAATTCCGGATTCCGCCTTATTATTATTATTATTATTATTCCTTTTAACGTGCTGTATGAGTCTGAGACTATAGTAGCAAGGCTGGGGGTTTCCCTCCAACAGATGAGTAAAGCTGTACTAAATACATGTTTGAGAAGGGGTTTATGGTCATTACAGTTCTTGGGTTGTTGGAAGTAGCTAGGCTTCTGGTTATGACAAAAGAAAAGTTGTTATGTTGTAGTACGCCCCCTCGTTTCACGCCCTGTACGCTACACTTCCTCGTTCTCGTCTTCCTCGTTCTCGTCTTCCTCGTCCTCGTCTTCCTAGTCCTCATCTTCGTTCTCATCCTCAGTTGCGCGTTGTGTGTGCCATATTCTAGTGGCGATTTTGGTGGTTCGAATAAAGTCAAGTGTGGCCTCGACTCCTTTGGCGGTGTGAAGGAGGGATTTCATGGTGAACTCTCGAATATGATGCTTGAGGAGGTTGCGCTTTAGTACTTTCCTAGCATCCCCAGTTTCTGGACAGCTAAGAAGGAGGTGAGTGGGAGTCTCTTGTCTTCCACATCTACAGCGGTTGTTGGTAGTGTGGCCGAGCTTGTGTAGGTATGATTTGAAGTATCCATGGCCTAGCTTAAGCTGATAAAAGGCGCTGGCTATCTCTCTTTTTGTTCCTTGGGGGACGCAAGGTTTCGACAGAATCTTCCATGGGAATTCCCTTCGATACGAGTGTTGGTTAGTTGATGGTTCTGTGTGCCGGGGGGGTGTAGTAAGCTTTTGACGCCATTCTTTGTTCTGGGTCTGCCTGATCTTGACTCCTAGCATAGCAAAGCTAGTGAGTTGAGTGGATGGTTGGATTGTGGTGGCGGCTTTTGCAAGCTTGTCTGCTTTCTCATTTCCTGGAATGTCGGTGTGACCTGGTACCCAGTGAATTGTGGTAGTAGCTCCCTTGCTAACTGCCTTCCGGGCAGCTGTGATAGCTCTGATTTGGCACTCTTGCCCTGGGTTATCTGATGTGGTTTTTAGCCTCCGTAAACCTGCCTGGTTGTCGGAGTAGATGTGGAAATGGATCCCTGGTCTAGCGTGCTTGGCAGCGTATTCAACTGCTAGCGTGGCCCCTTCAACTTCACCGTTGTAGACGAGCTTGTTTGGTCCAATGTTGACTTTCTTTTCGTAGTGGATTCTGTTTGATTGAGGTGAGATTACAGACAAACCTACCCCAATTCCTTGGCTATTTTCTGTTGTTGTAGAGGATGCATCTGTGTAGATGAAAATGCTGTTATCTGAGTTGTTTTGGAGTAGACGAAGGTGAAGTTTAGTTTCCTCTTCTTTTGAAAGTTTGCTAATTTGAACCTTGTAAGGAGTTTCTCTTTCCCATGGAGGGAAGTGGAAGTGGTGTATTTGCTCAAGGTCTTCAAGGTTGTATAAGTTGCTAATAGAGCGGTGGA